TAGGTTTAATATAGAGTCAATATAGGGTCAATATAGGGTCAATATAGAGTCAATATGGAGTCAATATAGAGTCAATAGATGTATTGTTGTTCAATGTAGGTCCAAAGAAGCTCTATTGTAGGTCCAATGTATCTTTAAAGTAGGTCAAAATTTTTGTTTTTTTATTGTAATTTGTAATTTATTTAAGAAATTTCCCCCCAAAAAAACTATCGATATGATGCAATTTCTTTGATCAGTAATTCTTTTTCATTCTGTTAGTGTTTTCGATTTAAAAAACGCCAATGATACTCTAAATTGTCATTTCAATATCAAAATCGAATGGACCTTGAACTCAAATGAGTTTGGGTCAGTAGGGAGTAAGTGTGGGTCTTTATTTTATTACCCAAATCGGGTTTATGACACAGTCTCTCTCTCTCTACAACTTGTTTCGTTTTTTTATCTTTGAATGTTTGATATGAGTACGATTTAAATTATTTTAATCGCAACCAGTTTATTCTTGACAAATCTTTATATTGTAATGTCAAATAAAGACGTTCTTAAAATGGAAAATTTAGAATTTCAAATATATATGCCTATATAGATTCTATAAATTTTGAACAGCGTTTATTGATTTCTTGTATTCGTATAATTTCTTTTTTTTCAAACATTAAACGATATATTTATTTCAAGATGCTGAATTGATTTTGAAAATTATTGCCATTGATTTCCCACTTATAAAAATGATTTTCGATTAGTTTATAGAAAAGAGATGGGGATTTTAAAATAAATATACCGTAAAGTATGAAAACAATATATTCTGTATACATATATATATATATAAATAGTTGAATTATATCAGATTGTCATGGCAACACGTGCATTAGAAAAGGACAAAAAAGTGTAGACATATTTAGCCACGAGTGTACATTTTCTTTGAAATTTAAATATTTTTATATATTTGAACTTTTATATTATGGTTTAAAAATGAATAAAGTCGGAAGATCTAGAAGCAAATTGTGGGAAGAATTAGGTTATCTTCTAAAAAGATTATAAATGGAAGAATGCAGCGTTAAGGCCAACACACAATAGGTTCGCGAATGAGATGCATGAGATAGAAAAGGATACAAATATATCTCTGTCCTTTTCTAACTCATGTTTCACGTTCGCGAACGACTTTCGCGAAGCTATTCTGCTATTTCTGCTTTGGCCTTTATGTGTTAAGTGCAATTCACTTTACATTTATTTTTTTGCATTAAAAAAATCTAAATATTATAACTAAAACGGCAAAATTATTTGAAATTATTTTTTAAAAAATATTAATGAAATAATTTTGTTGCATATACCTTTGCGACTTTCAAGACGTTCTACAATTTTTAATAATTTTATTACAATTTAAGCATTTTGCAAAATTTTTATCGCCTATCTTTTTTTTCTCAAAACTCAAACTATCCCACGAAATTTTTGTATGTTTTTGTAAATATTTTCGTTTTCCTGTCATTTTTAAACGTTTGAAAAATCTTCTTTTATAACGAAAACAAATTATAACCTCCAAAAATCTGATAAGAAATGGATAAAATGTAATATACTTGAGTTTTATACGGTTTTTGACGTATATTACGTAGAAAACGTATCATACGTCGAAAATCTCAAATTACGTGTAACTTCACTACCCTGACTAGAACCTATATTTATGTTCGTCACAACAGATTTAAGGTCAGTTTATAATTACCACAATTGAAAATTTTTTAATTTTCAATTATTTTTATTATTCAAATGATTATTTAAAATTTAATTATTTATAATTATAAATGAACAAAATTTAAACAGTGCAGACTTGATAAATATTTTTCATGCAACACCCCAAAATATGTTTGTCCGGTTGGTTTCCATTGTTCCCACTTGCCATTTGTCATAATTCTCGTTCAACTAACACACCCTGCTCTAGTGAAAATTTAGTAACTTTATAGTAACTTTTAATTTTAACAATAAAGTCACTAAATTTTTACTATAACAGGGTGCGGTAGTTAACGAAAATTATAACAAATGGCAAGTAGGAACAATGGAAACCAACCGTCCAAAGCAAAGCCTAAACAGTTAAATACATTTTCTAAAGGCCTGAGCAGTATAGAAACGTAACCGGAATTGTAATCGCAAACGGAACCGGAAGAATGAGTTAGAGATGAATAGTCATATATTGTTGTTCTTCTCTTACTAATATTCTCCCGTTTACGTTTGCGATTACGATTCCGCTTACGTTTCTATTGTGCTTAGGCCTTAATTGTTGTTGAACAAAATTTCAATCCTACCCAACTTTGTTTTGGACAAACATATTTTGGGCTGTTGCAACGAAAACCTCCCATAACGTGAACGTCATGATTTTGAGATAAGTGGAAGTAAAAATCCCTAAAATAACAACTGCCAAAAACGTGAGTTTTTCGTTGCCAGATTCGGATTCAGCACATCAAAAACTAATGGGAAATGATTTCTCGATCTTTGACAACGGAAATTTTTTTTTTTTCGCAGGCTTGAGTAATCATTTGAACCATAAAAACATGAAGTAGTATAAGGAGCACTCACTACTTGTTAAGCATATAGGCCCCTTGCATGAGAGTAAATCCGAAATTACATATCTCCGATTATGACGCCTCTAGCGGAAAAGCGGTGTACTTAGAAGTTTTCAAAATATGGCTGCGCCTAGTGACAGCTGTTCTCAATAGTAAACAGTGTAAAGGTATATAATAATTTTAGAAAAAGTGTACAAATTTTTGATATCAATAAAACTATTTGACTTGACTTGAAAAGAAAGAAAAAAGTTACACACAAAAATTTTAAATAAAACATAAATTTTTTAAAAATATATTTAAAAATTGGTAAGTTTTTGCTTATATTTATATACGAATATATAATTTAGATTTTTAAAATATTTGTTTTCAATTATGTTTCATAATGAAATAATAAAGAAATTGCAATAATTTGTTGTAAGTTATATAAAAATAAAAAATATATAATTAATTTTTTTCCATTGTAGCCGTATATATTTCAAACGAAATTTCTTAATTTTTTTAATTTTTAGGTTATATTTACATGTAAACAAACAAAATATAGTGCCAAGTTCAGCAAGTATTTTGTTAACATTCAAATACATACAAAATAATTTGTATCAAGTAAAGTTGCCTGTGTTAATGCTGATTCATTGATCAATTTAGCAGCCTCATTTTTCACTTTTTTATTTATAATTACACAAAATTAACTCGCATCAAACACATTTCAAAAAAAAAAAAAAAAAACGCCAACTGACAGTTATACACAAACACTTATATAACAATGTACCACGTGACCTGTAATTCCTCGCTTTTCCGCTAGGGTTGTTAGTATCGGGGATATGTAAATGCTTCTATTAAATCTGGAAAGGCTGGGTAAGAATTTTCAAAAACGGCCTATAGAGTGGGTGCTCCTTATACTACTTCATGCATAAAAATAATTAAAATTTTTCAAGTGTTGTGGTTAGGAATTAACCTTAAATCTATAGTGACGAACATAAATAAAGGTAAGTGTATTTCATACTTAAACAAACTTTTTCTTATTCAACTGCTCACTATAAATAAATTATCACTTTCCTTTTTCTTAAAATTCATAATAAAATAACTTTTAATTCTTAAAAATTCAGTATAGTGAAGAAATTGATACAAATATAAAAAATGAGATCAGCTTTGATGAAGAAATTTTAGATCTGTTATTTTTAATTTTTCGCCTATGACAACGGATTTACAATCAGAAATCCTCGAAATAATAATGGTTTTTATAAACTTAGCTTAACTTCTTAATTTTTTGGTTTGCTATTTTGAATTTTGAACAAAATCTATATGATAAAGATATACCACACTCTCTAAGCTTTTAATATCTTTTAGATAATATATATAGCCAAAACAAAAAAATCTTCTTCATCCATAGGATTAAAAGAATTATTATGATTCTTTATTTTCCTTCGTCATTAATTCATCAATATCAGAAATAACAGATGGCATATGCACATATTACTAACTGTTATAAATCGTATGGAAAAACATTTTATTGTCAGGTCAATAATAGCGTATAGTAGATATTGCTATATAGCAGTCAATATAGAATTGAAGTGGGGCTATTCGAAATAGAGAAAAATGCTTCCATCAAATGGGGCATTTACACGGTCCAAATATAAGATAGTAAATGTTATTTTTTTTCTTTATGGGTGCTGATTCCTTTTTATTTAGCTTGTCTCATTCCATTATTTTGACAAAAGATTGAAATCAACCCGGAAAAGAAAACTACGATAATTTTCGCAAAAAAGATAAAAAAAAAAAAGTAGAAGGAAGAGGAAATCTTCCTCATATTTATATATGTTTTGTTGTAATACATGGATATTTTTCTTTTTTCTACTATTGTATGGGGCGTTCCACGTGACATTTTGATTAAAAAAAAAAAAAAAAAAAATTTTTTGACTTGTTCATTTTTTTTCGAAATTTTTATAAATGCAGAATGTCAGAATTTCTTTTTTAAAGAATTTTTAATTAATCAAATTTTAAGGCAACGAATTTTTATTTGCCCGAAATTGAAAATGGCCTAACAAACAATAGAGAGAAAAATCGCGTCAAAATTTTTCTATCCATTGTTTATTCGGTCATTTGCAATTTCGGACACATAAAAATTCGGCGTTTTAAGAATTTTGTACAATAAAAATTATTTTTTTAATGCATTTTAAAAATATTAAAAAAAAATTAAACAAATTTCATGTATTATATTATATTTTATCTGTTAGTAGGACAGAGAAAAATGCTTTCTAAATGTATTCGGCTTCTGATAACCTTAAATTAAAATAAATCATAACTTCTATAATTTTTATTGAATCAAAAAATAAAAAAATACGTGTTTTCTTATTTTTCATAAAAATTTCGAAAAAAAATGCTCAAGTCAAAAAAAAAAATTTTATTTGAATGAAAATTTCACGTGGAATGCCCCATGTACATATAAATATATGTACTCACCCAGCATACGAATTACATTTCTTTGCGAGCTGTTCTTCCCGCGTGTGGAGTCATAATGATTGAGACCTCCGGCAATTGGTGTCCTCTTAACAGAAGAGAGTAGCCTTGACCTTCGTAGTTTGACCCCTATGAGAATGTAGAGAATGGTAATGACAGTCATGGGGACAACGAACAGTAACATGGTCGATATTTCAAAGGCGTGTTCCAACAATTTTCTTTTAATCGAACATCTTGTTTTCTCTCCACTTTTATTGCTGTCGTCAACAATACCAAATTGCATTGCTTGCGGTACTGCCAAACAAAATGCCAAAATCCATATGGCCATTATAAATTTTACTGCACGCGAGAGTTTTGACATTGTGTGCGAAATGAAGGGATAACAAATGGCCACGTATCTGTAACATATATAAATTAAAATTATTTTCTGTTATAAAGAGTATAAATGTAAACAGTTGATGTTTGAGATTAATTTAAAGATTTAAAATATTTTCACCTCAACTGACCTGTAAGAGGTTCTGAGTATTAGTAATATTTCATTTTGACAATTGACAATGCCGTATACTCTTAAGTTATCGCTTAATACATAAAAGATTGAAAATCAAAGATTCACTGTTTCAATATTTTGACTCGTATTTGCATAAAAATTAACTGAAAATTTAAACCAAAATTTATAATTAGGGTCAGTTGGAGTAAATGGGAACAAGAGGTGTTGGAGCTTAATTTAAAGTTTTAAAATTAAGTACAACTTCAATATTTTAACCTAACGCATCGAAGTGTAACACCCTAACCACTATATTGTACGCGGATATGGGAATCTTAACACAAAAATGTTTTGTTAAGCTGCATTTCAGGAACATTTCAGCCGTTAATGCGCCATTACTGGGCCAAGATTCGTTCCAACTTTGGAAAAAATGACTTGTCAAAATAAATTTAACATTTCAGCCGTCAATGGGACAATAATGACCAAATAAAGAGCCAGAGTTCGTCTCAGTTATGGAAAATTAGAATTAACAACACAGTAAACTTGGTTGTATCTTTTTCTATTGCAACGTTTTGATGCACATAAGTTATATCAAAAAGAGATCGTTTTGTGTATCATTTTTAGAAATGATACACGAAACAGTCTCATTTTTTGATGCAAAAAATTTAATCAATTTATATCAATCATGGCCGAATTGAATCGACTCAAAATTAAACGAATTTTTTTCAGATATTTTGGTAATAGTACAATTGCGGAGACCATTTCATTATTTAATTTGAAAATGAAAATAACAGAAAATCAAAGACAATGTGCAATTCGATAATTAAAAAGTGACACCTTATGAACATAACCTAAAATGCATGAGAAAAAATTTGTCGATAAAATCAATATAGCCGAGCTTTTTAGAAGGTAGATGGCAGTTTTGCTTTTTATAAAAACGATTCAGAAAAAATTTAAAGAAAGAAAATAGATGAGTGCTGCCATCTACCTTCTAAAAAGCTCGGCTATATTGATTTTATCGACAAATTTTTTCTCATGCATTTTAGGTTATGTTTATAAGCTGTCACTTTTTAATTATCGAATTGCACATTGTCTTTGATTTTCTGTTATTTTCATTTTCAAATTAAATAGTGAAATGGTCTCCGCAATTGTACTATTACCAAAATATCTGAAAAAAATTCGTTTAATTTTGAGTCGATTCAATTCGGCCATGATTGATATAAATTGATTAAATTTTTTGCATCAAAAAATGAGACTGTTTCGTGTATCATTTCTAAAAATGATACACAAAACGATCTCTTTTTGCTATAACTTATGTGCATCAAAACGTTGCAAAGATTTGATGCAATTTTTGGTCTCAATTTGATACTTTTAGGAAAACTGTGAAGTATTGGTGCCAATATTGTCCCAGTAATGTGACGGAGTTCGGCCCAATAATGGCAAATTAGGGTAACCGAGAATCTGTGCCAATATTGGCCCAATAATGGGACGAATTGATTGCTAGTACTGGTCCAGTAACGTTTGCCGTACTTCGGCAGACATTACTGGGCCAATATTGGTCCGTATTGGCAGTTTTGGCATTTTGCACATGCAAATGTACCCAACTAAAAATTTCAGTATTATACCAGAGTTGACTACTGGCGCAGTACTGGTTCAGTATTGGCTGCCGAGGCTGGGCAGTCTGTACTAAACCAGTACTGGTATTTTCATTGTAGCCGTACTGGTGCAGTACCACCCTCCCAGTACTGGCAAACCAGTACTGAGCCGATATTGAGTCAGTACTGGCTCAAATAGATTTTCTTTTTGATTAATACTAGTTTACAAAAAGTTCTAGAGTAAACCCAATGAATCTTTTTGTTTAAATATTTTGTTCATCAATATTTTTTCAACTTGATTTTATTTTTCAAAATTAAAATGCACTTTATTTTGCTGTTCTGTGGGTAAAATTATTTAAACAAAAAGTTTCCTGAGACCAGGTCTAAAACATTTTGCAAGATTTTCTTTTTGTTTTCAGATATGCAATAAACCAAAAAAAAAAAAATTTAAACGATCATACTAAAAATTAATAAATTTGTTTATAAAAAATTAATATTTTTTAAAATAAAATTTATAATTTAAATTTAATTTAAAAAATTAAATTCAATCGCAAGTAAAATTGCATAAATGCTATATTATCAATAATATAAAATATATACTTAATCTTTCTTAATAGAAATTATAAAAAATAGTTAAACCTACAAACTTAAATATTTCAATGATCAATAAAATTATTGTAATTTGTTTCTGGATGTTATTCTTTAGTTTTTTTCCAAAAGTGAATTATAAACAAAAATTTAATGTTAATTTAAAAATAATTTAGATAATTTTTTTAATAATTACCTACCTAATTTCAGGAATTTAGTATTCATTATTCTATTAAATCATTATATTTGTGATGAGTTAATTTATAAACTAATTTTGTTTTATGTAAATTAAATTGAATTCAATGTTAATTTATTTATATTTGATATAATAATTAATAAATTAAAGTGAATAATAAAATAATTAAATAGTTAATTGCATAATTATATACATTATAATAAATTATTTTATAAACATTTTTATTTTTACTTAACTGTTTTTATATATTATAAAAACTTTGGTTTTATAATAAACATATTTTTATATTTGTTTTTTGATTTTTTAAAATAATAATTTGCAATATATATTATAAGGAGGAATAAAAATTCTTGGTGTTTTCGATTTTATATAATAAAATATTAATTAGTTAGTTGACTAATTTAATTAATATTTAATTTGTGTTGGGTTACTAAAGAATTTCAGATACTTTTTCCTAAGTATACCAAAAAAGTATTACCTAGAGTGAAACTTATCTCTGTTAGAGTTAAAGCTTTCTTTTCGTATACAATAAATTACAAAACTGCCAGTACTCGACCAGTACTGAACCAGTAGTGGTTACCAATACTGGTGCCAACTCTGGTAGCCAATACTGGTAAAATGTTATCATCCCAAAGTTACGCCAACTCTGGCGCCAATACTGCGTGCCAGTACTGCGCCAGTACTGCGCCATTAGTAAATTTTTGATTGGGTAAGTAACAACTTAAAAAAAAACCCGCAAATATTACCTTTTAAATGAAGAAACTTACGTAATTTGTAAAAAATGTGGATTTTATCCCCATTTAATCGCAACTGTCCCTATTTTTATTAATACTATGTAATAAAAATTGACTTTGATTTTTGACCTTTGTTAATTTAGTTTATAAAAAATAAATTTTAATTTCTTTTTTAAATAACCCCAATCAAAAATTTACTAATGGCGCAGTACTGGCGGAGTACTGACAAGTGTTGGCGCAGTACTGGCACCCAGTATTGGCGCCAGAGTTGGCGTAACTTTGGGATGATAACATTTTACCAGTATTGGCTGCCAGATTTGGCACCAGTACTGGTAACCACTACTGGTTCAGTACTGGCTGAGTACTGGCAGTTTTGTAATTTATTGTATACGAAAAGAAAGCTTTAACTGTAACAGAGATAAGTTTCACTGCAATAGTGAAATCTCTGCTCCAGGTAATACTTTTTTTTTTAGGAAAAAGTGTGTGAAATTTTTAGTAACCCAACACAAATTAAATATTAATTAAATTAGTCAACTAACTAATTAAAAATTTATTATATACATATAAAATCGAAAACACCAACAGTTTTTATTTTTTATTAAATATAAAATATATTGCAAATCATTATTTAAAAAAATCAAAAAATAAATATAAAAATATATTTATTATAAAACCAAAGTTTTTATAATATATAAAAACAGTTCAGTAAAAATAAAAATGTTTATAAAATAATTATACAATTAGCTATTTAATTATTTTATTATTCACTTTAATTATTTGCATTAAAATAAATTTTTGAAAAATTTTTTTAAGAAAATAAAAGTTGTTTTTTAATATTTAACAAGTGTTGTCAAGAAAATTTTTTTGAATTTTTATTTTAAAAATTATTAATTTTTTTATAAAAAATTTTATTTATTTTTAGTTTGATCGTTAAAGAATTTTTTTGGTTTATTGCATATCTGAAAACAACAAAAAAAAAACTTGCAAAATGTTTTGGAATTAGTCTCAGGAAACTTTTTGTTTAAATAATTTTACCCTCAAAAAGCAAAATAAAATACCTTTTAATTTTCAAAAATAAAATCAAAGTGAAAAAATTTTTATGAACAAAATATTTAAACAAAAAGGTTTATCAGGTTCACTTTAGAACTTTTTGTAAACTAGTATTAATCAAAAAGAAAATATATTTGAGCCAGTACTGGCTCAATATCGGCTCAGTACTGATTTGCCAGTACTGGAAGGGTGGTACTGTACCAGTACTGATCCAATGAAAATACCAGTACTGGATCAGTACAGACTGCCCAGTCTCGGTAGCCAATACTGAACCAGTACTGCGCCAGTAGTTAACTCTGGTATAATACTGAAATTTTTGGTTGGGACTTGATATTTGTATTTTCCAAAATTCAGTGAGCATCGTTTATTAATGTTCTGATTTTTCGACCTAGATTTCTGATAAAATATAGTATGAATAAATTGAACAGTAATTTTATATGGAGTAATTTAATATGGAGTAATTTAAAAATAATCATTTAAACATGTCGAGAAAAATTTGACTCAATCTATGTATTTAATAAATATTTCACGAGAAATCCGTTGCATAACATCTTTCTTTATTTGTCGATTTGTCGAGGTAGACAGCGCAGTAACTAATTATGATTAATTTAAAAACATTTTATTTTAATATAATCTAAAAACCATACATTTTATGTTGACAAAATTTTATTACCAATTATTTGAATTTAAGGAGGCGTGTGATTTGTGAGGTCACGTGATTTCACAAATAAAATGTTCTCCCTAGATGTTA